CACGAGAGTGAGAGTAGCAGGAGGTAGGCTAGGAGCAGAAAACACGAGGCAGAACCAGACGGGCAGTTAGGGCGGTAGACCCTAACGGGCGGGTCGGGAAGGCGGGCCCAGACGGCCAGTTCGAGCAGGCGGGTTGCTGAAGCGTGCGTCCTGCATGGATCGCGAGGAAGTCTCGAGCGAGAGCGCGATTCCCAACTAAATCGTGAGGAAGTCCACAGCGAGAGCGTGATTCCTGAGTGTCGAGGGCGCGGCGTCTGAGTAAATTGCAAGGAAGACTCACGCGAGAGCACGATTCCTGCGTAAATTGTGAGAAAGTCCCGCGGGAGACCGCGATTTGGGAATACATTGTGCGGAACAAGCGGGAGCCGTTGTTATTGTGGTTGCAAATATGACCCAACAGCGCAGCTTGGTGACCCTTCGTGTTCCCCAATGTAATAACCAGGTGCAAGCCCCGGGAGAAGCACTTTAGTTGAAAACCGCTCACCGTTGTTTTAAGAGAATTCAACCAGAACAGTAACAACAGCAGCAGCAACAACAACCCACAACAACAACAACAATCAGTTTAAGCCTGTTCGCTCATATCTGCTCGCGGGCCATTCAACACGTATGTACATCCCAAGCCCTCAATACCCGCCCTCTTCGTCTTCGATCGTGCCCCCTTGGGGTCATATCTTCCTTATCTGCCACGTGCATGTAGCGCAGCCCATAAAGCAGGGGAGTACACGTCGGTCGGAAGAAGTAGGTAGAAACATGAAGTAGGAAGGCGGATAAAGTGGATTGGGTCCAGGCCCTCCCAGAGAACAACAAAGCACAGCGAACTCATGTCGATTCTTGAAGTAGGAAGGCGCTTGAAGTAGATTGGGATCTGGGAATCCCAGAAAACCTACTTTCAACGACCAGCGTGTAAAGGACGGATGGAAGGGGGACGGGAGGAGGATGGAGCACGAGAGGAATTAGCAGGAGAGTGGCTAGGCACAGAAAACACGAGGCAGAAGCAGACGGGTCATATCTTCCTTATCTGCCTCGTGCATGTAGCGCAGCCCCTAAAACAGGGGAGTAAAGGACAGATGGAAGGGGGAGGGAGGAGGACGGCGCACGAGAGGAATTAGCAGGAGAGTGGCTAGGCACAGAAAACACGAGGCAGAAGCAGACGGGCCGACCGGGCGGGTCGACCCTGACGGGCGGGTCGGGAAGGCGGGCCCATTCGGCCAGGTCGAGCAGCCGTGTTGCTGAAGCGTGCGTCCTGCGTGGATCGCCCTGGGGTACATCTTCCTTGCCTGCCACGCTCATTGAGCGCAGCCCCTCAAACAGTTGAAAACAGGACGGATGGAAGGGGGGGGGAAAGGATGGAAAACGAGATTCTAGCCAGAGGGGGGGGGGCTAGGAACAGAAAACACGAGGCAGAACCAGACGGGCAGACCGGGCGGGTCGACCCTGACGGGCGGGTCGGGAAGGCGGGCCCAGGCGGCCAGGTCGAGCAGGCGGGTTGCTGAAGCGTGCGCCCCGCATGGATCGCAGGGAAGTCTCGAGCGAGAGCGCGATTCCCGAATAAAATCGTGAGGAAATCCAAAGCGAGAGCGTGATTCCTGAGTGTCGAGGGCGCGGCGTCTGAGTAGATGGCAAGGGAATCCCACACGAGAATGCGATTCCTGCATTGATTGTAAGGAAGTGCCGCGGGAGACCACGATCTGAGAATACAATGTGTGGAAATATCAGGTGGTAGCCGCTGTTGCTGTAAACCGGGGCCCAAAAACGCAGTTCGGTGACCCTTCGCGCTCCCTTGTAAAAAATAGGGTGCGAGCCCCGGGAGAAGCATTTTATTTGAAAAATACAATGGTTACCGGAGGGAGGATCAACAATACCAATAGAAATGAAGATCCAATAGCAGCAGCAATAACAACAGCAACAACAGCAACATCAACATTATTCACTACCCACAACAAAAAACCCACAACAACCCACAGCAACAACAAAAAGAACAACTGCAGCAGCAACATCAACATTCACAACCCACAACAACAACAACAACCCACAACAAACCGCAACAATCCACAACAACCCACAACAACCCACAGCACCCCACGACAACAACAAGAACAGCAGCAGCAACAACAACAACAGCAACAGCAACAGCGACAGCAACAGCAGCAACAACAAAGCGGTCATACACCGGGGTGCGTAGGACACTGAATTCCAATGCAAGTGGGCACTCCAAATTCGTCCTCGGTTGAAATCAGATGGACGATTCACTGTCGCAAGGGCCCAGGGACACACAAAGAAGTAGATACAAATCGCAGGATTCCCAATATTTTTCATATTCTGCAGTTTCGACTTCCCCCCCCAGTTCCCCTAGTTGTTCCCATACTTTCCCTGGCATCGCCAATTGTTTCTGTCTGTGTTCTTCCCCCTCCCGAGATGCATCCGAGGCCGGGGGGGTGAGACCAGAGGTGGACACGAAAGGTGCCCCAGGTGGGAGATCGGCTCGCTTCGTGCGCGACGGGCGCCCGGGCGAAGCGAGGCGAAACTGCGGGTGTTCCACGCTGTCCCAGTGGTTGTCGCGATAGCTGTCCCGATGGGTGTCCCGACGGTTGTCCCGATGGTTGTCCCGATGGTCGTCCCGTTGGTCGTACCAATGATTGTCCCGGTGGTCGTCCCGATGGTGGTGCCAATGATTGTCCCGATGGTTGACCGGATGGTTGTCCCGATGGTTGGCCCGATAGACATCCACGTTGATGTCCCCGTGCGTGTCCGCTCGCGGCCGAAGATGCGCGCCCGCTGCACGTCACAGATGATGCCCCCCTCAAACCTCCCCATCTAAAGGGGCCCAAGGACACACAAAGACTAACACACAAATCCCATGATTCCCGATACTGTTCCGAATTTTTCTGGGTTTTCGTCTTCCCCCCCGCTTCCCATATTTTCCCATATTTTCAGAGGAGTCGACGATTCATTGTGTCTGTGTTTTTTTCCCCTCCTGAGAGGTATTGTGTTGCTACCGCTATCGCTACTGCTGCTGCTGCGAATGCGAAAGACTAGTGTTGCAAGGGCTACTGTCAACACTGCCACTTTGACCGCCGTCTCCGCGTTGCCAGGCCGTGGGCTCTTGGCCAACGGGATTCGGCATACCGAGGGCACACGCTCGGGCAACGACCTCCGCCTAGAAAATCGGGGTGGACCTGGCGAATCCGCCACCGTACCGAGAGGCACTGAGTGGAGTGCCCTGAGACCCCGAAATCCTGGGCTCCCCAAAGCGCTTATGGGCGCTCTCGGGGCAGCCCCGCGTGACGTTTGAGAAGCCGTGTGTGTTTCAATCTTCTCGGCCCCAGAGGAGGAAACACGAGCTGGCCCTGGAAGCCTTCGAGCGCCAGGATGACCCCCGAGACCGCCAAGAGGAGCCCAAGAGGCCACAAGAAGCACCCGAAATGCACGAGGACGCCTCGAAGAGGCCCCCAAGAAGCCCCAATAGGCCTCCAAGAGGCCCAGACACGCATCCAGGAGGACTCTGACCCACAACCAAGGCACGGTGGCGGGATGGGCCGAAGGCCAACTGGCTGGAACGAGAAACCCCCGAAGCAATGCCCCGGAATGGGAGTAGCGAGAAAGACAGAGAGAGAGAGAGAGAAATAAAAAAAGAGAGAGAGAGAGGGAGAGAGAGAAAACAGAGAAGGGAGAGAACGAGAGAGAGAGAGAAGACGGTGCAAAATGAGAGGAAAGCGCAGGCCGAGACCGGAGAGAGCCATCAAGGTGAGACCCGAGAGGGCGAGAATGTGGTACGGCAGACGGGGAGATGCATCACAGACAGCGTGCACGACGCCTACACCACCTCCACCTCCACCTCATCCACCTCCTCCTCCCCCTCCTCCTCCTCCTCATCCTCCTCCTCATCCTCCTCCGCCTCCTCCGCCTCCTCCTCCTCCTCCTCCTCCTCCTCCTGCGCAGCACGCTCGGGGGTGGTCGCGGCAGCCGCACACGAATTGACTGGGAGATGCATCACAGACAGCGTGCTCACACTGCGCAAAGCGCAGCGCGTCGGCGCGACGAGCAGCGCAGAGCTGCCAGCGTGCACGGGAGCCTGCGAGGTCTCGATACCGCACACAGGTGTTTGCCCCCACGGGCGAAGCCTCGGGCGGCCAGGGAGCTCGGCGACTTCTGCGCGACCTGCGAGAGAAAAAACAAACACACACAAACAACAAAACACACACTGGGGAAAAACAACAAAAACACACAAAAAGAAAACAACAACAAAAAACACAAAAGAAAAAAAAACAAACACACACACACACAAAAAAAACACTTGGGGAAAACACCAACAACAACACAACAAACCAACAAAAAAAACACTGTGGGGAAAAACATACAAAAGCAAACAAAAACACACTGTGTGTTTGTGTGTTTTAATGCACTGCCTCCGCTGATCCGCCCTTGAGAACCACTCCCCCGACCCCGGCAGCTCCTTCCCTGGGCGGGAAGCAGATTTGGAGACGATGCGGCCGCAAAGGTCAGGAGGCAACTGCTGGGAGGTCTTCCCCGCAAGGATTGCATCGGATCAAGTGCCATTGGGGGGCCGTTACGCGCCCGATTAGGCAACGGATTAAGCGGGATTCGAACAAGGGGTAGTGCAGCGCGCTGATTCGGGAGCCAGAAGGTACCAAAATGCCTGGCCCTGGCCGCTGGTGGGTAATCCGCCGCCGTGCAGGAAACACCAGTGGGGGTCCAAAACTGCGCACATTGCGTCGCGATCACACCGGCAACCTCCGACTTAAAAACACTTCTGACTGGGACGCACAGAGACATATTACAGTACTATATGTCCTCCTTGGAGGCGCGCGCCCGACCCGAACATATA